CCTCAAGACAGGAAGCAATCTGATATAGGTTATACATGTACAGTCACGTTAAGCATATTTCAACATTAGTCATGTTGTGAAAGAAGAATCAGAACAAAAGGGAAAAACACAAGAAAGGAAGAAAGTGAAAATATTATGCTTTCATCTGCATTCAGATTCCATGGTTCTTTCTCTGAATGTGGACAGCGTTTGCCATCATGAGTCTTTTGGAAGTGTCTTACATCATTGCATTGCTGAGAAAAGCTAAGTCCATCATAGTTGATCATCACATAATGTTGCTATTACTGTGCACACTGTTCTCCTCTTTCTGTTCACTTCACTTAGCATCAATTTATGTAAGTCCTTCCAGATTTTTCTGGAATCCACCTACCAAGCTGTTTTCTGGGGGAAAAAAATGTCAGGAAATGACGAGAGAAGTTTTGAAATTAGGCATTTGAGGATATACTGAAGTGTCTGAACTCAAACATCACTATTCCTGTGGGGATGGGATGATGGCAGTGCCATCTGATTGTCCTCAAAGATTGAATGGCCCAAACTCAGGATTGGACCAAGTCCTAATAAGGGAAGGAATCCCAATGTAGACCTGATGTAGATTCTGGTCTGCCTTGTGTGAGCGGATCCTTAGCTGTGTGATGTCAGAGGATGAAGATGATGTGCATGCAGAAGTGTTAAGGATTTCAGACAGGTCTGATCAGGCCTCTGGTAACAGACCCTCTCTTTATTGTGGGCCTGAGCGTTAAGGATTGTTTTAGAGATGGGTCTTATGGCTCACCAAAAAGAATGATACACACCTACAATCTCTGAGCCCTTTCAATCCCTTTATTTGATAATGTGAATAAAGTGGGCCTTATAACAGATCTGCAGGAGGATCAATTACGTAGACAAACCTTGCCTTGTCTCAGTAAGTGCCCTAAGGAGGTCAGTGCCTGTGGCTCTCTTCCCCTTAAAACCTGGCATCTGGGGCAGCTCTGCATCACCTGAATGACAGTTGCCAGTAACCTCAGGATCAGGGCTTCCTTTTGAAAGGGATGGTGAGCACAGAGCTGCCCCAGGGGGATGTTTGCTGGAGCCCTCTCCATGGGTGCCTGGGGGAAACCATCTTTGCCTACTGTTTGGAGCAGCCAAAAAGCCTGGGGATCAGGGCTTCCTTTTTTGAAGCTCTGATGAGGCTGAACCTCTCCCCAAGGGACGTCTACCCTCTTCATGGGTGTCTCTGGAAAGTCATCTGTGCCCCCTGGTTGGCCAGGTTAACTGTGTGTGCTCCAGGGCCACCTTGTACTGGATCAGCTTGCAAATCACCCATAGGAGCAAACTTTCAGGCAGTGATTCTAGGTTGTTGTCCTACAGGCTGGCAAGCCTCTAAATTGGGAAGTAGCTCTCAAAGGTGGGCCAGAGGGAGTGAGACTCTGTGTCCAAATCAGTCACTGAGAATCCCAGCAGAAAAAGGTAGATTTTCATAGAGTGCCTCTGATCTGGTACCAGCTGGAGTCCTCCCTACAAAATACAAAATCCATCCCTAGGACTGCACGTTTCAAAAGACCATAAGGTCGTGGGGTACTTGCAGAGGGTAGAGGCCTGCAGCCCTGATTTCAGGGCTTGTCAGTGTCTGGGCTTCAAACAAGCCTGGCCTCCAGCCTCCTTCTCTAGATCTCTCAGTCATTTTGCCCCATCCCCTACCCAACAGTAGGCCTGACTTGCTAAAAATCTATGACATCACTAGAGAGACATGTCAGCCTGATAAGAGAGGCTTTGCAAATTTTATTTCTTGAAGGATTTTTGCCAAAACACACACAAAAGGTTTTTTGCCATACTTTTAACAGTCTTTGTATAATTTCCAGAAAAGGAGGGGGACAAGTTTGATTTTGGTTTCTTCACTCCTTGCAGGAGGAATCCAAGCAATTTTATTTCTCCTCCTTTCATGTGTTACACAAAAAAAGCCAGCAGCAAGAGGATTTTTTTGTGGAAACTGCTAAAATTAAAGTGAAAAAGGAAGATAGTTTAAGAATGAAAATATCTGAATGAACCTGTCTCATGGTATGGTAATCCCTGTCAGGCATTGCCCTGACTCTCCCAAGCTAAACACTCCCTTTAGAGAGCAATGGTGTGATGACACCTTGGTAGATGAGGAATATCTTTCCTCTCGGGGGCCTCCTCCCCCATGCCATACCTTTCTTCTGATCTTGTAGAAAGTTCATTATGTTCTGAATGTTCTAAGCAAGTGCTGAGGCTGCTTACTTCCTAGGCCCAATTCTTCTCACTTCCTTTCCCTCACAACCCCACCCCCTCCCCACCAGTAAGTCCACTAAAGAGGACCCAGGTAGTTTCTCACTATCCCATCAGCCTCTCTGGGGGATTGGAAAGATCGCTATCCAAATGGAAAACCGTTTACAGCCTCCCCCACCAGCTCCCAGAGTATAACTGGGAGGGCCTTGGTACAGTTGGAGGGTGGCTATGAGTGGCATGTAGGAGTTGAGCTCCATGGGATGGAGGAAGGAGCAGGGTCATTCCCTGACTTCCTTCATGTTTCAGCTCATGCATCACCTTCTAGAAGCAGGAGGATTTCCCAGGTGCCCCCTGGGTGCTAGTGCCTTCATCTTCTGTGATGGCCTCTCTGGCATCCAGCCTAGATCACATAGTTGTTTTTTTTTTTTTAAATTGGTTCTCTCCTCCTCCTTTAGACTGAGCTCCCAGAGGCCAGGGTCCAAGCTTTTCTGCCTTTTCTGGGCTCCCTAGTACCCAACAGAGGTAGTGGCACACAGTGGGCATCCAGTGAGTGCTTGTGGTCTCTGCTTGTAGAATATGGCTCCTTTAAGACAAGGATGAGCAGCACGTAGGATTGCCAGGTATCTGGGGGGGGATAGGTATATTCAGGCTTCCATCATCCTTATTGTCTCCAACCATCACCCTTCTTTGGCGCTGATTCCAACCTGACCTCATGCCACCTAATCCCCAAGGACCCCCAACTCCCACCCCCTCCTCCATCACCTTCTGGCTGATCTCTCTTACACTCACTCTCACTCATACACTCTTTCTCACACACACATTCACGCTCCCTCTCTCTCTCTCTCTCTCTCTCTCTCTCTCTCTCTCTCTCTCTCTCTCACACACACACACACACACACACACACACACACACACACTCTCTCTCTCTCACACACACACACACACACACACTCTCACACACACACACACACTCTCGCACACACACATACACACACACACACACACACACTTGTAGCATCATTTCACTGTGGGTGTACGAGAGGGAATTAGTTGGGGAGGGGCTTCCCCTATGCCTCCCCCGATGGCTCTTAGGGGGCAGACATAGCATTTCCAGAATTCCTGACAGAATGGATTAAGGAGGAGAAGACAATCCAGAAACATACCAGTACCTGAGCACCCCCTCCTTCTTGCCCCTCATCCCCACCCAAGAATTCTGGAGATTGGTCAGTGGGTGCTTCTGTTATAGAGGCCAGGTTAGTCCAGAAATAGCCTGGGAGAAGTTCAAGGCTTCACATTTGAAAAGATTATCAGTATATCTGTGCTCCCCCTCCTAGCCACCCTTGTGTCCCTGATGATCCCTACTGAGGGACAGGAAGCTAAGGGTTAGGATCCTGAACCTGCTTGATTAAATCTCTGCCCTTCCTCTTAATATTCTGCCATTGGCTGTGTTTTTTAAGAAAGCTTCCCTTGGGTGTGCTTACCACCATTCCAAGGACAAGAGCCAGAACGGGGACCAGGCTGGGTAAAACAGACTAAGGGAATGGCATGTTCTCCATCAGAGAAGGGAGCGTCCATCCCAGCAGGAGGTCTGAATGGAAATAGACATACTCTGGGCTTAACACAGATTCTCTGAGGAGATTTGGGGAAGGGGCTAAGTCCTGGACAGATGACCTCATGGAGCTCAGCACTACCTCACAAGCCCCAGAACATACTGACCTTTCTGGAAGAGCAGGAGAAAGGCCTACTTTAGTAAAAAGTGAAAGTTTTCTTATCCCACCCCACCAGGGACTCCAGAATTCCTTAAAAGGTGGGGTGGAGGTTGCAGGCTTGTGGATGACAATGATCTTGAGATCATGGTTATTATAGTCAAAGTCTGGTTAAGTATTTGTGGTTGTTCTGACGTTATTCAGTCATGTCCAATTCTTTGTATCCCCATTTGGGGTTTTCTCGGCAAAGATACAGGAGTGGTTTGCCATTTCGTCCTCCAGCTCATTTTACAGATGAGGAAACTGAGGCAAATAGAGTGAAGTGACTTGCCCAGGGTCACACAGCTAGTAAGGATGTGAGGCCAAATTTGAACTCATGAAGATGAGTCTTCCTGACTCCAGGCCTGGAACTCTAGCCACTGCATCACCCAGGTGCCCTGGTTAAATATATTCCAACTTAAATTATATTTTCTTTCCCTTTTGTTTCAGTTGTTTCCCTGAAAATCATCTTTCTGCTGGCATTTTTGTACAGTAATATAGAATATAGATAAATGAGATTTCTTAGTGTCTTTCATCTTGGAGGGGAAAAAACAAGCCCCAAACCAGAATTCCCTCCCTCTGCCCAGCCCAAATCAAAGATGTTACAGCTTCTTCCTCAGGGTGACATTGTTGGCTGGTGATATCAGCACATTTGAGGTGATTTTTTGAGCAGGGTGGGGGGCAAAGTCAGGTCACAATGACTGAGGGAGAGCTTTAGAAGCCTGGAGGCCAGGCTTACTCAAAGTCTAGGCACTGACAAGCCCAGTAATCAGGGCTGCAGTGCCCTACCCTCAGCAAGCACCCCAGGGCTTTGTGTCCTCTTGAAGTGAGATAACTAGCATTTACATAGTGCCTGCTATGTGCCAGCCATAGTAAGAAGTGATTTACAAATATTATCTCATTTAATCTTCACAGGAGCCCTAGGAGGTAGGTGCTATTATTTTCCCCAATTTGTAGTGGAGGAAACTGAAGTTAAGTGACTTGGCCAGGGTCTCATAGCTGATAAGTTTCTGATACTTTATTTAAAATCAGGTCTTTCTGGACCCCAGTGCTCTGTCTGCTGCCAACTGCTCTCATAGGCTGTGGACACCTGTTATCTTGGACAACAGCAGAGATGCTCTGAACAGCATGCTTCATGGGGAAGAGAGTCACAGATACCATCATCTTTGGGACACCTGCTGAGGCAAGTCAAGAGTAAGTCTCTATCGCTTGTTATCTACAGTTAAGTATTAAGGGCCCCTTCACATCATCAAATAAAAGGGATTGAAAGGGTTAAAAATTCCCAATTTTTATTGTTGGTAAGAAGAAGACATGCCTCTATCACAATCATTAATGCTAAGGATTAGAAAGAGGTGTGAGGATTTGTTACTGGGGAGGAGTCTGATGTGTCCTGGTCAATGGAAAATGCCTAGGAGGCATGGTAGAATAAATATAGTTTGTCCATTTTTGTAGTTTGGATGAGAAGCAGGCCATATGGGTCATTATCATATTCATGAATTCTGAACCTTTTGGAAATTCATTTTTCATTATTTTACCAATTGCACATTCCACATTGGTACCAGCATGCCTTAGAAGTGATTTTAGGAAACCTCTACCTTGATGCCTCCGACTCGTATCCACAGAATTAGCTGTTCCGTATCTTCTTCATCTCAATATACTTTTAAGGTTTGGAGAGGTCATGACCCGGATAAAAGCTAGAAGGATCATCTTGGAGGGAGTCAGTTGTGCCACAATAGGGCCATTTGCTGCCTGAATCCTCCTCCACACATTAAAAATTGGCATGTGCCTACCTCACGAATGGATGCCACACACTGCTGATGTTGGCAGCTAAAGTGTTATCAGTGAACGTAACTCATTTCCATTTCCTGTCAAAGAGAAAATGAAGTCTGTGAAACATTGATGTTGATAATTCTAGAAAATTTGGGGTTTGGAAGATATTTGGCTACCAAGAAAATGCTGTCATCATCGTCATCATCGTCATCATCATCATCATCATCATCATCCTTATCCTTGTCATCCGTGTTTATTGTTACTTTCCCCTTTGTGCATGTAGAGAGTTTTGACTTGGCAAGAAGCAGATCCAGTTCTACATACGAGGCAGTGGTGAAGGTAGGGATAGTGGCCAAAGGCATCTGGGTTTTGAGAGATGACAAGGGGAGAACAGAGTGGGCGGGTGGCTTCAGTGTTGTTGTTCAGTTGTGTTTTCTTGGGGTATTCTTGGCAAAGATACTGGAATAGTTTGCCATTTCCTTCTCCAGCTCATTCTACAGATGAGGAAACTGAGGCAAACAGGGTGAAGGGACTTTCCCAGGGGTCACATAGCTAAAAAATGTTTGAGGCCAAATTTGAACTCGTGAAGGTGAATCTTCCTGCCTCCAGGCCTGGCACTCTATCCACCGCAGTGCGACCTAGCTAGCCCCTTAAGGTATATCAGGGAGTATCAGTATATGTGTTGAAGTCATGGGGGCAAGAGTTGAGGAGAGAGAGACTATGAGCCAGGCTGATAGAATGACTTAGATGAGCTCAGAAGTCCCTTCTGTCTTGGACATGGTGAGAGGCTCTGAATTCTGGAGCTGAGGGTAGGGAGATTGTGTCCATTTGCAGCAGCCAGAGTGGGGTAGAGATAAGCAGCCCCATTAATATATCAGATATTCTCGCTAGCCATTTTCCTGTTCATCTCATCTGACTAAACATGTAAAAGATACTCCTTAATTAATTAATTAATTAATTAATTAATATGTAGCCCCTGCTACATATGGCTGGTATAACGAATGAGTGCTGATTTGGAATCTGGAGAACCTGAGTTCATATCTTGCCTCAAAGTCCTTACTAGCTATGTGACCTTGATCAAGTCACCCAACCCCTTTCAGTCTTAATATCCTCACCTATCAAACAGAGCTAATAGTAGCACCTACTTTTCAGGCTTGTTGTAAAAATCCAATGAGATAACATATGTAAAGTACTTTGCAAACAATAAAACACTATGTAAATAATGCCAGCTCTTAATATGAGATCGACTAGTCCAGTCCAACTGTTTCAGAGATTTCTTGGGGAATTGTTGTACCCTAGGACCAAGGCTTGTAAATATAGTCTTTCATTTAAAATACATGCCCAATAAAAATCATCCTAATTTTATCTACTTCAGTTTTCTCATCTGTAAAATGGAGATAAGAATAGATCAAATGAAACATATACACATATATATGTGTGTGTATATATGTATGTATGTGTGTGTGTGTATATATATATATATATATGTATATGTGTATAATGTTTTGTAAACCTCAGATGTTAGCTATATTATTATTGTGATTGCCTCTTCCAATAGAATTGTCTCTAGGATCTTTCAGGGAATTATTGTGTCCTCTGAGACCATGGCTATAAAACATCCTATCATCTAAGATCCATGCTCATTATTTCAAAAATCAAGTCCTTTTCAAGAAAACCAAAGAAAACATGATTTTTGTTTTGCTTTTTTAGTGAGTTTTTTTATCATATCACAACAGCACTAATATAGGGACTCCAAAAGTGTGACTAGAAGTCAGATTAGCTTAAGCAATGAATGTAATGACTTTTTTCATCCTTAGATTTCCTCATCTGTAAAATGGGTAAGTGTGGGTGGGAACGGAATAATACAGGGCTCACCTCATAGGGTATTAAATTAGGATCACAATGAGAGATAAATGCTATTATTATATTGTTATTATTCCCCCCGCCCCAATTTTCTTGTTGGGAAGACAGTTTACTTCTGTACAGGAAGAACCTCACAGCAGGTTAGAGAAAGCTGAGCCAGGAAACCTGGTCTTTCTGACTTCAATGTGTTCCTTGAAACTAACACTTTTCTTAGGGTTACATGACTTGGCTCTGCTTCACCCTCATCCCTCAGGAAAGTTAGAACCTTAGTAACATTTCAGTTTGGAATGTTGGACAACAAGCTTGATGCTGTCCTAGCACTGCACAGGAAAGGATGAACACAAGAAAAGCTTTGTCAGGAGGGAGGTTTCCTTTCCCCTTCAAACCTTCCTCCTGTAACACCCCAGGCACATTTTATTGCCCCTGGGGGGAGTCACACTTAGTGTTTTCCCATTCCATTGAAAGAGAAGCCAATGACACATCACCTCGTCCAAATGTTGCCATACATTACAGGTGGGGAAACTGAGGTACAGAGAATAAGTGATTCACCCAAATTCATCCAGGTGACAGAGCCAAGACATGGACCCTGGTCCTCTGATCTCATTCCAAGCTTCAAAAAGTGCTTCCTTTACCTGTTTGTCTATTTAATGCTTTCCCCCAGCCCTGCACAAACTGCCTCCATGTCTACAAATGTTACAGATATCAGGGAAAGATCGAATGAGGAAGTGAACCGGTTTTCTAGACTCCCTGGCCTACCTACATGAATCCTTAACTGGGAAGCCTGTGCTTTGCGAGAACTCAGCACTATATATATTTCAGTCTGTAAGATTGTACTGTTATGCTTATTGGTATATAGGATCTGGAAAGGCAGTGTAGAGTAGGTGGGAAGAGAAAGAGAATCGGAGCTGAAAATAAAATAAAATTGTATTTTTTAAAAAGAGGCAGTGTTACATAGTGGGAAGAGTTCTGGGCTTGGTGCCAGGAAGGCCAGAGTTGAGTTGAAATTCTGCCTCTGACAAATATTGTCTGGGTGAGTCCAGTCGTAGGCAAATTATCCTTCCACTGTCTAGACAGAGGTGTCAAACAGGGCCTGCTGTGCCCACCATACTCCCTCTGAACCAGATGAAAATGTAGTTGGGAAATATTTAGCAAAGTAAATAAAAATAGAGTAGAACACAGATATGCTAATATGTGTTTTTCTTAGGTAAGGCTTAGTGCCCCCCCCATTTCTATTTGAGTTTGATACCACTGGTATAGAAGACGCTCAAAGACATAAGTTATAGAAAAGATACTGCCCTGCATTGGTAAGAGGGAGGAGTTTCCTCATCTGAAATCCCATATCCAGCCCCAGTCCTTAAAGGGTCATTGATTTAGAGCTAGTCCCCTCTCATCTATAAAACCCAGTGACAGTAACTTCCCCAAGTCTACACAGCTAATTAAGCTTACATCTGAGCAGGATATGAACCCAGATCCTCTCTAGTTCTTTTGGGATTTTACTATCTCCCTCTCTGCTTAAAGGGTCCATGCCCCCATTTCCTTTAGATTCTCCAGCTGTACTTAGTACTCTATGATTGAGCCCATAGTATGTACTTAATAAATAATGTAAAGCATATAACATACGCTAATCCAAGCAGGTGACCGAATGGATCGAAAGATAGATGAATGAATGAAAAGGCATTTATTTAGAACCATTCAGTGTCACTGGGGGGAAAAAAAAGCATTGTTATCTTTTGTATGTATCAATGACTGTGCAGGTGGGCCTGCAAGTATAAAACCAACAGTCTCTGTAGACTCTAAGGAGCTATTTTCAAAGATGGTGGCAGGGAACCACATGCATTATACGGGAGCATGGAGCAACGGTGTTTTGGTCTGGGAAGTCAGAGGGATGGTGAAAGGGCAGTCAGTTGACATGCCCTATCCTGAAGCAATGATGCTGTTGATTGGCACAGTGAATGAAGGGCTGGGCTTGGAGTCAGGAAGAGCCAAGTTCAAATTGTATCTCAGATACTTGCTAGCTGGGGAAGTCACTTAACCTCTCTCTGCCTCTGTTTCCTCTTCCGTGCAATAGGGATAAAACAGCACCTGCATCACAGGTGGATCGACTGAGACAATATTTGTAAAGCGCCTGGTACATAGTAGATACTGCACAAATGCTTATTTCCTTCCCCCAAATGATTTTCCATTCCATGTGCACCTGTTGGCATTTGGGCCCAGGTACTCCTGGCTACTCATAAAATGTCTGTCTCCCAGAAAAGCCAGCTAGGTACCATTCTGTTTCTTCAAAAGACAATTCCACATGTCAAGTTGGGAGGTGGAAGAAATTCTCATTAAATTTCATTAAAATGAAAACTTCCTTTGTTGCCAGACAACCCATTAGCTACTAGGGTAATTTTGGAGTTGATGGAACGGTTTCTCTTTTTTTCCCCTAGCTAGGTTCCTTCCCATGCCCACTGCTCCACCCACCCCCATGGGCCGATGCCAGGAGTAATATAATATATCTTTAGCTGTTCTATATTTAAGTTTACTAATTGAACGATGGGGAAGATATTGGCTAGTCTGTA